CTAACTCTCTCCTCTCACTCCCAGACAGAACGTTTATGCCTCGCCTTGGGCAAACCTGCCCAAAAACGACAGCCTGGGGAATGGGCTGGAGTCTGCAGGCATCAACCCCAAGACAGAAACCAGAGCAGCAGAAGGGTGAAAAACGAGCCTCACAGCCAACAGGCAGTGACCCCATACCGGGAAATCTCTTCCAGCATGAGGAGCCACAGTGTTTCCCTCGTAGGCAACTCCAGTCCTTCTGTTCCTCCCAGACCTACGCTATAGGAACCCAAAACGAAGAAGAGACAGCGGAGGAGGCAAAATTTTCCCTCTGCCTTCTGAGCTTTAGATCATTGAGTCTATGAAAGAAATTATTAGTATCCAGAATTACAGGAGAAAAAGTGTACAAATTTAAGAGAATACCCAAACCCCGGTGAGATTTGGATGCTTGTACATGCTCTTCACAGGGGAGATGGAACAGGGGATGCAGGCAGCTTAGGAAAGAGTAAGCGATTTGGGGAAAAGACAATTAAGACTTCAGAAGAATAGAGGACAGGACAGGCGCAGTGGCACATGCCTGTAATCTTGGCACTTTGGGAAGCAGCGGTGGGCAGATCACTTGAAGTCAGGAGTTTGAGACCAGCCTGGCCAACATGGTGAAACCCCGTGTCTACTAAAAATACAAAAAATTAGTTGGTTTGGTGTCTCATGCCTGTAATCCCAGCTACCTGGGAGGCTGAGGCAGGAAAATTGCTTGAACTCGGGAGATAGAGGTTCTGAGATCGCACTACTGTCTTCCAGTCTGGGCGACAGAGTAAGACTCCATCTCAAAAACAAAAGAATAGGTGACAGCCTGTGGCAAAGGCTGTCTGGCCGTGGTGTCGACCCCCAGTCTTCTCTCCTGTGATACAATCCAATCTTCCCTGCTTTGTGAGATTCCTAAGGAGAGGATTCATGACTATTAAGTTTCTTTTGGAGGACTATCATTAGGTAAATAAGGGAGGTTTCAAGAAAGCTTCTGCCTATCATCACTTTTCCCCATGTGTAATTACTTAGTTACTTCAAAGTAATTAACACACCATAACATCATATTTTGGGGTGGCATTTCCTGAACTCCTTCAAAACTCATGTCTCTGAATCTCTGTGAAGGCAGTTAATATGGAGGCTCAGGCTGCATGAATGGAGAAGCACCAAGAGCTATAGAGAAACACAGAGACTAAAACCACATGATTAATATTTTTGAAATGTGACACCATGGCATGCTCTTGTCTACACTCACTGTGTATTTGCTGGTCTCAGGGTCCTGTTTCCTGCTACAATAGCCTCCTAACCATACTTCCCATCACTGACTCCCTGCATTAAAATTAACTTTTTACATGTGGAAAAGCCCCATCAACTTTACCCACATAATGGTTATATTTAATAAATGTCAAAGTAGGCAAGTCAATTATTTCTTATCAGAGAGATGACATCACTGACATAGCCCATATTAATTCTTCATATGTTCCAATTTGATAACACCAGGAGACAAATACCTGTGACTCATTCCTCAAAAGGTAGAAGTCCTTTCCCATCCTCATTTCTTTTTCCCTTTTTTTCTTTTTTTTTAGTCTCACTCTGTCGCCCAGGCCGTAGTGCAGTGGTGTGATCTTGGCTCACTACACACAACCTCTGCTTCCTGGGTTCAAGCAATTCTCCTGCCTCAGCCTCCCAAGTAGCTGGAATTACAGGCACATCCCAGCACACCCAGATAATTTTTGCAGTTTTCGTAAAGACAAGGTTTCACCATGTTGGCCAGGCTGACCTCGAACTCCTTACCTCAAGCCATCCATCTGCCTCGGCCTCCCAAGGTGCTGAGATTACAGGCGTCAGTCTGTAATTAAGGTGTTGGGTCACAGTTCTATAATGTCCACTGCTTCTCCCTTTGCAATGTGATTCACACTTGTACTTACCCCTACAAAAGCTATCTTTCCCTGTACTGTTAAGCTTTAATGTGTTAGGGACTGTGTCAGTGTAATTCACCAATATATTTCTAGTTCCATAGTGCCTGCCATTTAGCAGGCACTTCATAAATATTTGTGGAATGGATGAATGGATGAACAAAGCCAAACTATAGGACTGGCTTCAAACATGCTGGAGATATTTTCTTCTTTGGAAAGATGGCCCTTCACCTAGACATAGAAGGGAGTGCCAAAGACATCATGAGTCCCAAAATTATTTACCTGCTGACCTGCTATGGTGATGAAATTCTTTGCACAGATTCACCTCTTAGGATCCACATGCATAGTCCCCAAGAAGCACCTATTAAGTAGAAATAGTTAGAATAGTCAAATTGTTAGTTAAGTGGCATATTTAGGCCATATCAGAAAAGAAAGTAGTTGACAAGGATGAAATGAACATTCTGAGGCCACTGGAGCTATGGGATTTAGGCTTGGGAATTGCTGCTTCAATTAAAATAATTCCTTCCAAGTACAATTTGTAAATGTAATTTTTATGTCTGACTCTCCTCAAAAGTCTTCCACCTTTTTATGAAATTTCCATAATTACTTTTTGAGAGGAAAGTTTCCTTTTCCAAAAACTGTGAGTTTCTGAAATACCAATGATTTCTTCCTCAGTTCCATGGTTCTTAAAGTAAGAGAAAGTAAATGTTTTGTTTATACAGAAGGCTTAAATCAATGAATGGGTACATAGGTGTTTACAAACCACCTAAAGTATTAAAACATGAGTAGGAAGAACAAGGAATTCAAGGAAGTGGTTCGCAAGTGTGACAGCTCCTCAAAACCATCTCAGATTGTTTGACCGCATATTTCCAAGTCTCTGCCTAGAGATTCCGATTTGATAGGCTGGGACTGTAGACCATGACAGTGCATCAAAAAGCTCCCTGGTAATGCCAGTGAGCAGACATTTGGAGCCCCACTAAGCTCTCTTCTGACTTTAATGTTCTAAGAGCCCCTGTCTTTTCATAGCAACGAACACTTGCTCCAGACACTCCTACTTTGTAAAGGGACCTTGGAAAGGCAAAGGTTATCCCCGTACAGGGCTCTGCTTAGAGGCTCTCATCAGTAATAACAACAGCCACTGTTCACAGAGTGTTTTCCACACACACAGTCCTGTTCCCAGCATGCACACACACGTGACTTTAGGAGCAGACAAGGGGACAAAAGACCTTCACAGACCGGTGACTGGCAACCATGTTCTCTGATGACCTAAACCCTAGAGCAACCTGTCCTATCACTCATGGTGGTTCTTGATGCAACCGAACTGATAGATGCACACCCCATTGGGGCTTGGTGGCATATCAGGACTGAGAAGGTACACACTGGAATATTCCCCAAAGGACTCTGACGAAACCATTTTAATGTAACATTTGGTGTTTTTCTCTCTGTACTCTGGAGACCATCAGAAGGAGGAGGAGAATGTATTCTTTGCAGTCCCCCTATTCCCTCTCTTTCTCTTTAAATATCCTCCATAGCTGTTGTCCCCAGCCCTTAATGTTGACTCAGTAGAATTGCATGGTGGGAGAGTCAAGAAAGAATTCATCACCTGGCAACACTTTTCTAC